GGGGGGGAGGAGGAAATTGGTAAGTGATTGACTAATAGATTGATTGAATGATTGAATGATTGAATGATTGATGATTGATTGATTGGATGATAGTTTGATTGATTGATTTTCCTTTTCTGTTTTTCCCCTCGACACCCTTCACTGCAGCCCCCCCCACGCCACCCCCCCGTCTCCCCCGGAAGAAAAAAACAAAATTCCTTTGCTATTTCTATTTCATGGAATGATCATGGATTTGATCTGAGTGATGACCTATGTTGTACAAAAGCCAGGGCAATGGGTTGAATAAGAAGGAGAGTGATGTGCAGAGATAGTTCTATAATGTGAGGGCATAACAGTGGCAAGATTGCCAAAAGAAGTGGCGAGGGATGCAGCACGGTGACCGCAGTGTGTCCCCCAGAGAGCCTGAGAGGTCGAGTCTCTGAAAAGGCATGAAGAAAGCTGGCGAGGAAGGTCGAACCAAGCCACACAAGGAGCAAAGGGCTACACAACGCAATCCCATAGCACGTGTACGAAGCTGAACACTGAGTTCGATGCCAGGTCGAGAGAACTTGCTTAAATTGCATAGATAAATTTAAAAATTAAAACAAAAAAAAAATAAAAAAATATGAAGATCTTGTACTAGGAGAATCACAAGGGAGAGAGAGCATGATTTCCTAAATCTACAAAATAGCGAACCCCCATTTTTTAACAAGTAGTACTCTGATCTCAAAGGATGATTGTCACTTGAAGGCTACAGCCAGGTGCACTCTAAGGGGTTACAGCCACGTGCACTCTAAGGGGTTATGTACAGGTTCGAGGAACTCAGCTCTAAGGCGTTACGAGCAGGGGTACAGAATGATCGTCACGTCTTTTATCCAGCTGCGGCGAAGAACTAGAAGGTTAAATCGAGGAACCGATTTCCATCAGCAGCCCCGACTATGTTGTCTAGCTTTTTCTCCAGGGATGGTCCGTTGGGTATTTTCTCCACAGTGAGAGGGGTGCCACTCTGAGAGACTCCCTGGACAAGATGGAAGTTCTTGCGAACCTGGTCGAACTTGCGATTGCCATTGATGTCGAGTGAGGCAGGGCTGTAGATGTCTCCGCTGGACATGATCCCKTGCRTATCCTCACTGCCCACAGGTTTGAGGTCCAGGACCGTGTCACTTGATCCCTGSAGAAAGTAATTCTGTTGCATAAGAATTTGGCCCTGCGTTCCAAGACCCACAGCGGAGGATTTCCATCGCCGGAGGCAGTTGTTGTACATGTGGACGAAGCCAAAGCGCAGGCGGGGATGGCGTTGTCCACACCCGTCGAACATATTATGATGAAGTGTCACTCTTATCCTCTTATCGACGTCACCAAGCTTGTCGCTTCCTCCGAACAACATGGCCTTGTTGTGAGCTGAAAACAGGCATCGAGAGATGGTAACGTTAGTGGCTCCCCGGGTTCTGTCGATTAGCCCGTCCACGAAGTTCTTGCAGGTGACACGTTCGATCCAAATATCAGAGGGTGATTTGCCTCCRGCGTTGTTCCCCGTGATTTTGATAGCATCAATGTCGTTGCTCTTCTCCCCGGGGATGTCAAGGTCCGGCTTTCCTCCCTTTCCTTGGGAGAAAGCGCCATCGAAAGACACGTTGCAGACAATAACATTCTTAGTGTCRTTCTCTATCAGAAGACCAGCACCGAATATGACTACCGGTTTCCGTAACCCGCGGCCATCAATGGTCTTGTTTGATGAGACACGCAGCTGCCTCTTCGAGTCCTGCGTGATGGCGATGCCACTGTAGTCGATCATGGGGCTTCCATCTTTCTGGGGTGCCTTGTCAGCAGCGGCCTGGTCGAAGACGATCCACAGGGGCTCCGGCCGGGCTAGAGCATACTGGAGTGTGCCTCTCTCCTCGATCGGAGAGAAGTTTGTGACGACATACAGGTCTCCGCCCTTTCCTCCTGTGGCCTTGCCGCCCTAACCTTGAGCTTTGCCTGCCATGGAGAACCTCGTGCTGTCCATGGAGGCCGGATAAGGATTTGTGTTTGTGAAAGGGATCGTGGATGGGAGCACGACAGTTGTTGAACTCGCTGCTGATGGGAAGTCCCACGAAAGGTCACCCTCTTGTTCTTGTGGGGCTGCTTGTTCTTCCGCAGCAGCTTTGTCTTGCTTGAAGACTTGAATCCCCTCCGTCATCTCTTCTTGGACCTGGAAGACAAATGGTTCCGTCCCAAACTCAGCAGTCAATTCTCTCCTGATTCCTTGGTACAGGTCGCTCTGTATGCCATGGCCGCTGTCAGCAGCAGCAGTGTCGAAGTGGGTGCTGCTGCACTTGGGAGCGCACAGCCCAAACGAGCCAGCAAAATAAAGTGGTCCAGGAGCGGTTTGCCAGCCCCTCCTGGTCGGCCTTGCAGATGCAGCACACCACCCTGTCATTGGGAGTGCGGCAACGGATTTGGGAGGCATTACACTCGTGACATTCACATGCTCGCGTGATCCTCTAATGGCCAGCAGGCACCTGGATTCCAACGCAAAAGTCACACGAGTTCTAAGTGGTCTGGTGTTCATGGTGGGCGATGGTGTCTGACAAGAATCCCTCATGCAGAGAGGCACACCAGAGCTGATGCTGCCAGGCTTCACTTGCACAATAGTTGCCATGGTAGCTTTTGTGTGAAGAAGAGAATGCTGCTCGGTGCTGACACACACAAACATACACTCACAGAGAGGCACACTCAGCAAAGCATGCATGCAAGGTGCAGCCTGAAGTTCTCCCAGGCCAAGGACGACAAAGCCTTCTCCTCCTCCTCCACGGTCTCCACCTACTTAATGTTTGAGGAGGCAACGAGGTGATGAGCAAGACAGGCTTCGAGAAGGATAAGAGACAGAACGTTAAGCTAGTGATGGTCCCAGCCCCGTCTGCCACCACCTGTATGAGGGAATCTCCCACAAGCCGAAGAATCGACGCAGTGGACTACACTCCGCACAGGATGGCACACACAATGAGCGAATGACTCGACGAGCATGCTGTTGTCCGTGGCAAAGTTCATTATTTATACAAGGAAAGGAAGTGTGCCGGTGGATGTGAGGAATTGAGTGGCGTAAAGGTTTGTTCTTTGCAGACACTGTGTGCAATGGGAGGTTGGTTGAAAGTTAGCATAACTGAGAAAGTGGAAACAGGGCTCAGCATTTTTGGAAGTGGAAACAAGACTTGCCATTTTTGGAAGTAAAAACTGTGGCTGTGAGGAAAAGTGTCTCTCTCTGAAGCTAGTGTTCGGAGAAGTCCAGACGTGCAAGGGCACCCAGTTTTGGTGTTGGGAACGGTGTCCTGAAGGAATCCAGCTGGCAAAGCCTGCTTCCATCACCTTCTTGTTAGGGCCTAGTTGCACTACTCGCCATCCGGGTGCAGAGTGAAAAAAATGAGAATCGTGTCGAACTGGAGGCCTGGTTGCACTTACTCGCCACTATATTTCTTCTACAGAAAAGTTAAAAAAAAAATTGTCTCCCTGATGTCCACTCGCGAAGCCGTGCACTCTCCAGAAAGTTGTTTTGTGGAGAGGTCCGAGGACCGCGGTGACCCTCCACAAACCGCTGTGCACAGCCAGGGAAACAGATAACACTCGCCACAACAACTTGTGTGTGTCGACGGTGTGGCGAGCAGTCTGACGTATTTTTCATTCGCCAAGTTTGACGAGTAAGTGCAACCAGGCGCCTACCCGCCAAACAAACTTGGCGTACTATGGAGAGTAGTGCAACCAGGCTCTAGTCTTCTTTTTGGAAGTTCAACAGGAAAATGCATTGAATTTCACCTTCCTCGTCCACTTCCTGTTATTTGGACCTCTGCACTGCCAAGTGTTAGAGCGTTGGATAAGTTGTAGGAAGTTGGCAGTTACTAACTTACTAATAGGAACTTATGGGCCTCGCCACACCACTCTCGAAATGTAAAAAAGACAAAAATGTGGCGGGGGCATCTGGCCATGTTCTACAGAAAATTCATTCTCATTTTGCACATTTCGAGAGTGGTGTGGCGATGCCCTATATCTATCCATGCATTGGGCTTGTTAAGAGTTTTCAACCTAACTTAAGGCTTTTCTTTCCTTTTTATGTTGGAGTTTCGAGCTTTGTCTCTGCATCTCCCTTGACCCTTACGGGAAATACAGAGGAGGGATTACTATGTCGTGTGAAATTCCCTGCGTTCTCTTGGTGTTGCATTCAGAGATGTGATAACAACGCCCACTGCAGTTTTCTTTCTTTTTGCTGACAGTGTTCCTAAGGTCTCCAGCTGGCGTAGCCCGGCTCTGTTCATTTCTAAGAATTGTTGCTTTTTCGGGAACTTCACGTGACCCGAGCTTCAGGTGGGAGGGTGAAAAGTTAACACGTTTTCTGCTTTCTAAGCTTTCTTTTCCATTTTCCACAAGTTGAATCTTCGCTGCTGTACTGCAAGTGTTCCCTTCAAGCGTTGTCCGAGAATCTGCAAGTGGCATTTTGTTAAAATTGACTTTTTTTTTTTTTAAACAACACGAAATTAATGGTCGAAAAGTTTTCAGGTTTTTGCGTGCTTTTTGAACCTATACTATGACAGACCTAGCGTACAAGGACTGTCATTTCAGAAACGACATTCCTTTGTCATGATTAGGTCATAACTTCTCATAAGAAGTATAGACAGTAGTACTCAATCAGGCCTTACAGTGTTATATGCGTCCCCCCCCCCCCCAAAAAAAAAAGAAGGAAATTTTGTGAGATCTAATTTCGTGCAATTATTTAAAAGGTCGTTTTTGATGAAATGCCAGTTCTGTCTTGTACAGGCAGTATAATTGCGAAAATCCCTGAGTTCTTCTAGAGGTACAGCCAAAGGAGATTGAGAAATCTCTTGATCTTTTGGTCAGCCCATCCAAGTGGGAGGCCCCCGGGTTTCCTTTTTGCTGACCCTTCTGCTCTCCACATACAAGCTGGATGCTCAGATATGCAGTAGAGTACGCACAGCTGGAGGGCTTTGGAGCCAAAGAAAGGAAAGGGGCTCCAGCTGGCAAAGCCTGCTCTCTTCACTCCTTGTCATTTTCTCTGAAGTTGTATTGTGCCTGATTTTCTGTTGGTGGAGGCCACTGGAGGGAATGTTCGGCTATCACGGTACAATCCATTCCCTTGCAAAACCAGTCTTTGAAGAAACACCTGTCAGTTGACACAGCACCACAAATTTAAAAGGTTTGCAGTGCCCGTAGCAAAAAGGCTAGCAGCAAGAGGCAAATTCTGCACCGGGACAGTTCGGATTGGGAAAAGTTATAAACTACCGCTGCCGCAATACCTTTGTTGGCCCCAAACTGGCAAAAAGTCTGGGAGTCGTTACCGGCGCGGCTGGGGTGCAAAAATGACGCAGAGTCTCCCTTCAGGGCCTCCCAGACATTTTGCTCCGTTTGGGGGCCGCATAAGAATACAAGGTTTTGCCACAGGGTTATTCTATAACTTTTCCCGTTTGGATTTGTTACGATAGGGCAAAACTCCACATTGGCAAAAGGAGGCTGGGAACCACTGGCACTTGGAAAAAAAAAGGAAGGGGCAAGTACATTTCGGTCAAGAAATCCAGTTTCAAATAGGGAAAAAAAACTCAAATCGGTAGGTCTGTCACGACCTGAGTTCAAAACGGTGGTAAAACAACAAGCTGATGGTGTAAACGGTCCCGGTAAGTCGGGCGAGCAGTGGTGTGCAGAGGTTCTGAGTTCAGAAACTGCCACTACCAGAAAAGTGAAGCAGAAAAAAGGGGGTTCAAAGTTCTTTTCTGTTTGGCTGCAGTTCCGGTCTACTTCCTTCTGGAACACGCCTTTGAAATTCCTTCTCCCCCCAATTTTCTTGTGCTACTTCTTCTTTTTCCCCTTCTTCTTCGTTTTCCTCTTCTTCTTCAACAACTACTACATTTATTTTTATTTATTTATTTATTTATTTTTCCGCAAAAACGGGCCCAGTGCCCAAGGCTGATATTATCCATGAGAAAGTTTGCGCAGGCTATTTCTAGATGAAGCTGGCAAAATAATATTTGTAGTGCATTCAGATCAACTGACTCTAATACAGACTAGCTTAGCGCCCGCGGTGCGGGTGGTGCGGGCTACGCCCGCATGAAAGACCATGGCAAACATTAGTCAAAGTACTCACACAGACTCAAATGGGCATATAGAGCACAACACACTCAATATGTACTCAAAATAGGCTCAAAGTAACTCGAACAGTCTGGCAACAAACAGACTTCAAAGAACCTCAGAACAAAATTGTTTC